GCCCAATTTTAGATAACCTTATAGAATCATGTTTCCTCTAACCTTAGTCTAAAAAGTATTTTATAGCAATATCCCAAAACTAAGCACTCCTCATCCAATCCTATGTCGCTGGGTAATAAATGTTCCCTCTTATACAAATATTAACCTTTTCTAAATTATAGTTGTATAGAAAGAGAACGGTCAACCAATGAAACAAAATAATACCAAATTATCCAACAATTTAAGCTCAATTCAATAGTAAATAAATCCCCAAATTTTCTCCCAAGTCTATTATTTAGATTAAGGTAAAACAGAAATAACAAAATGTAGAGATTTAACTCAAGTAGTTAAGAGATAACCAGGTAATTTAGGGATAATACTACTTAAAGAATAAGGAATTCTTTTACGGTGCTGTTCTGACCCCTAACTAAGTAAGACATGTTCTCCATTGTAAAGTACTGCTTATAGCTAACTGAAAACTGAAAAACATCTTTAGCTACACATTATTTCTTAGGAAACTAAACCTCCCTCCCTCAGAAGCAGAAGGTACATTCTCCTATACCCCGAGAGTCACTCCAGAAAGGCCTAGATGAGAGGAACATGGAAAACTGAAAATGAAATTTCTGGAAAATGTGCTGGTTACCCTTCAGAAGAGGATGAAGCTGTACAGCAGGTGTGGCCTGAAGACCTCATGAACAGAACTGTCTGATACCTGCCACATTCGGAACGGTGCTCGCTAGAAGGGAATGAATTCAGATTCAGCATACTGTGTGCCGGTGTGTCCCCTGCCTTTCCTTTCATGGGAGTGCCCCTGGGTCGGGGTGACACTGTCCCTCCTCCAGTTCCCATTTGAGAAGCACATTCAGTAATGAGACAATAACCTGAGCTCTGTACCTAGGGCTCTTATCTGCTGAAGTTTGTATAATTTGAGGGTTTTTCCATTGTTTAGAGATAAGATCTAAGGGAAAGACTCCTCTAAAAGACACTTTTCCCACTTAGCAGAAAAATTTGAGCTACCAGGCGTCCTGATTGAAGAGACAGTCTATCTTAGTCAAGTTATAAAGGTGCAATATTTTAAGATGTATTAAAGGTAAAAGATTTTATGTCAAATATTAAAACTTAATACTTGGAGACTTTTAGCATTCCACTATGTGCATATATATACATAGCACACACACACACACATATTTGGATGCATAAGCAAGGAGCTAAAGTTTTATATAAATTTAAATAATTATACTATTGAGCTTCAAATGAAAGCTGTAACGGATGGAATAAAATCTTTAGCTAGTTTTAGTTGTAATTTTAAAGTAGGTAGTTTGGACATCTATAATTTAAGAGGCTACTTAGATGCCATTCACAGAGTAAAGCAAATTGAAAACACTTAAAAGTTGTCTTTTTGTTTGTTTTGGTTTTTCAAGACAGGGTTTCTCTGTAGCCTTGGAGCTTTTTTGGAGCTAGCTCTTGTAGACCAGGCTGGCCTTGAACTCAGATCTGCCTGCCTCTGCCTCCCGAGTGCTGGGATTAAAGGCATGCACCACCACCGCCCGGCAATAGTTGTCTTCTTATGAGAGATTTATCACAATGATTTTATAGTTGGCTACCTTTCATATATCCTGACAGCCTGTGAGAATGTGGTGCATCAGAGAAACACCTCAATCCTGAGAGGATGCCGACTCCAGTCTCCAACAGAAACCTAACGTAAGCCATCCCTGGACTGTTTTCAAACAGTGCCCAGATCGATGCCTGTGTGTCCGTGAAGGCTAAATTGCTGATGTTGTAGTGAATGTATTAAAACTGACTGAAAGTTCCACAGGGGGCTAGTTATAGGTTGCCACTATCCATTAGAGCAATAGAATGAATGAATTTCTAGTAATATTTATGTGAATGAATGCTTTCTACTTCCTATTTTTAACAGAATAGAGTCCTAGAAAATTATGTGCTTTGATATCTAAGTGTATTGTCAGGCTTTTAGAAAGTACTGGAAGTTCTGGGAACGAAAAGGGGAGAACTTCCTGCTCTATAAGTATGTTTTTAATGGCAAAATAAAAGCTTACCCCCACCCTCACATGAATTCAGGTCCTAGTTCATTCGCCTTGTGTTTTTTATTAGATATCTGCACATAGGAAACGTCCTATTTTAGGAACTATGCGTCTCTATAACTACTTTCCTATAAATTATGATATTTGATATGAACTCAAGCAATTTTTCATTTTGCTCAAAAACTTCCAGGGATCTGAAATTGCCATCAGCTGGTGTATGATCATCAAGCTCTCTTCTGAATTCTATCAACATCACTAAACTTAAGTTCTAAAGGAAGGGGCATTTCCCCTCTAAAAGGGGGAGCTGATGCCTATGGGAAAATAACATTCTTAACAAATAAAACCCAGGGGACCCGGCCAGCAATATGAATAAATCCCCATCTTCCACACGACTCTCAAACCAGTGTACAATACACAAAGTCGGAAACAGTTCTTTTTCAACTCATGCCTTATAATGTGCAAGTCTGGATGAAGTGGCCATGCTGGCTCACTGGGTGTGGTTATTCAACGGTTAGAAGATTAACTTTAATATGCAAAGTAGATGGTTGGCTGAGGGTGGAGGGGGGCATCCGAATATATAATCCCCACCAATGAAAGTGGAAGTTTAGGTCACTTCCTATCCAGGGATATTCCTAGGGCATATTGGGTAATTGTCAAAGCATCTGAAAGGAACCAGCCAAGTTAATTAGTTCCACTCCAAGGGAGAATTCTTCACAAACCGGTTCCTATTCTGTGCCATGGATTAGAAGTCTAAAGAAAGGCTACATATGGTGAAAGATATATACACTCAGCCATTACCACAGACAGGCAGTAAATTATCTGGGGGGCCCGCAGAGCACTCCGTAGCCCGTTCTTTCAACTTCCCCCCTCACCTGTGAAAAAGCCTGAACCTGTATGCCATTGGCTATTAATAATACTCCCTGAAAGGAAGCAAGTTGAAATTGTTCCCAAACTGCAAATCAATAGACCATGTATATATATGTCTACTACTGTTGAATGAAATTATATATCAGATTCAAGGCCTGTATCTGCACTACGGGACTCAAACATGCTTTCATGTAGCCTATAAAATCCACAGACTCTGGGCAGCACAAAGCTCCAAAAATGCTTCTGTTTCCACTCCCAGAAGGATACCCTGATATAGAAGCAGTGAACGGAAGCCCCTGAAAGGAAGTCTGTGATATGAAATTTAAAATAATTGTTTTTAAATTTGTAGTTTCCAGATTGGGTTTCTACCATGCCTGCCAAACCTTCGCCTCCTTTTTCTTTTTCTTTTCTTTTTTTTTCCTGTGGGCTTGTTATACAAATGTGGATTTCATTTATGTATTCACAGAAGGAAATGGTGATCCAGCCACTTTGTGGGTAATGCCTCTAGGTTTCTCCTCCGCGAACACAGGAGGTGGGATGGGTCCTGGGCCAGGAGGAAGGAGATGGAGCACACAGTCGGGCAGTGTTGGGAAAAGGCAGCCCTGGCTTGGTGAACGGCCTCTGCTGGTGCCTGGTAATGATGCCTTCTTTCCCTGGCCAGCCCCTGCTCTTTTAGAGCTGCGTTTATCCTGCCCCTCATGTGGCCTCTGCACAGCAGAACTGCAGTCGCCTCCACCGTCTTAAGCACGAGTTTCCAAACGCCGGTGGCACGGGAACGCTCAGCCTTGAAATGTGTCACGTAGGAGAGACCATCTTGTCACCGTTCTCCAAAAAGTGCACATGTGATTTATTCGCAATGAAGAGATCAAATATGAACATCCTGCCCATTGTTATGCACATGACACTTAGAAGCCATGGACTCTAATTCTGTCTCCTTTGAAACTCGGAAGTAGAGTCATGGCTAGTGCTTCTGGCATATTGTGAAGGCTATGTGGGGCGAAAATTCACCAAGAGAAGCACCCAGTTAACATTATCCTTACAAGAATACTAACCTGACCGATAAGATGTAGCCATTGGAGCAATCATGAAACAACTAGATTGGGGCTGACCAACTGCTTTACTCTGGATTGGCGGGCATACACATCTGGAGCTACACATCTGGTCAAAAACCTATAATCAGAGAGGTCATGGGCCCAATGAAAGAGCATGCTACTGTTGATTGTCTAAGTGAACATGAACATGCTGTAGAATTTAATTCTAAATATTATTTTTATACTCAGAGAGTAGTTCTGGCTTCATCCTGGTACAGAGAAGTTCATTTATGTAGAGGGCTTCTGGTATCTAACATCCAACAATATATTCCTTTATTAGCCAAGAATGCTTGCCAAGTCGCATATGTCTATTGCACTTCCCAGTCATGGTTGAAGGTCATTAACATAGACTGTGATGGCTGGACCAAGTCAAGGCATCAAGGAAGGAAAAGGAAGGGTTTACGGCGACAGAAGAAGAAGGCCACACAAGACACAGGTGTGTGTTCAGTTTGAGGCCTGGGAAGAAGTTTTATAGGTGTCTGTTTGGAGACATCGGCGCCGTGATGATTAGTGTTTTTGTGTTACACTGGCAGGAGTGTGGAGTTTAGCATTTGGTCAAACACCGGGTAGGTGCTATTGTGAGAACATTTACTAAGATGTGATTATAGTCCCTGAGTAAGTAAACCTTATGACTCCAATAGGTGGGTAGGCCTCAATTAAAGGCCTTAATAGCAGAAGTCAAGGTTTCCTGAAAAAAAAAAACAACCCGCTATTTTAAGAAATGTAGACATCTTATCTGAGGGTTCTGGGGAGACAGATAGTTAGTAAGGAAACTAGCTGGGCATGCATGAGGAACTGAATTTGGATTCCCCCAAACAGCATGCACACCAGGCCGTTGACACACCCCCAGATTTTCAACTTGCTAGCACCCACAACTTCATAAGTCACTTCCACACAATATCTCCATCTATTTAGATTCCCTCTGAATCTTTTTCTCTAGCAAATTCTAAAAGAGTCACCAAGCTCCCTTTATTAGACTGCATCGATTTCTTTGTTTCCAATTCCACTATCCATTTTGCAGGACTATGTATACTCCAACCATGCCAGAGCTCCAGCACACAGAGAAAAATGCCCAAGCAAACCACCACGTTTGGTTAAAACAAGAGCTGGCACTTCTTGAAGTTGGTAAGTCCTTCTCTGCTCTGATACTGTTCCAATTGCCCAAACTCAAAACAATATAAACAGGAATATGTGTCTCCAAAAAGGCTGCTTCTCCTGAGGTGGCGCTCTCTCTAGGAGTGATCTTTAACCTATTCATCCATACTCTATGAAGCCACAAGCCTTCCAGGCACCTTATCCCAGGGGAAGCCCTGGATCACCTCTGTGATAGGTTATCTCCATGCCTAGGTTGAGGAAACCAGCCTAGATTAGAAAAACACAGCTTTTGTGGTTTTGTCTATGCAAGTGCTTCTGAGAGGCTTAACCAGGAGGGGAAGGTCTTCCCTGAATATGGACCATCCATCCCATGGGCTGGGAGCCCAGATGGAACAGAAGGACAGAAACGAGAAAGCATCCTAACAAAGACAATGCTCTCCACCTGGCTGCCATGCTGTGGACTGCTGTTCTAAACTACAACATTCGCATTGCTGTGGCAAAATTGTATAAAAGCAATTTACAGGAGTGGGTTTAATCTGGTTCACTGTTTGGAGGTACGGTCTACCTTGAAGAAGGCAGGGTGTCACAGTGCATCCACAGTCCGGGAGCAGAGAGACCCTGGGGCTCAGCTCATCTCTCCGTTTTATTCAGGCTGGGACCTAAGCCCAGGGAATGGTGCCACCCACAATAGCACTATTCCTCCGACCTTACTCAAACCTTCTTGGAAATGCCCTCACAGACACACCCATGTTTTCTAGGGTTTTTCTAGATGAAATCAAGTTGAAAATAAACAGGGAGGAAAGCCTTATCCTCCCTGCTATCAAAGTAAAAATCTCTGAAAATTTACCAGAATTTAGAATTCCCAATTAGTGATATCAGCCAGTTATATCTGCCACAACAACAACAACAACAACAACAAAAAGCATGACTCAGACCTCTCCTTCTTTATTCTACCCCAGTAGCCTGCACGGTATTCCCCAGAGTGATGCTGAGAGTCAGCATCGCCTCTCCCTCCTCCTCCCCACTCATTCTGGCTACACAGGTCAGCAGGTCTGCCTTGGTAATGCCACCTAAACCTGCCCCGCCCCTTTATCTCTTCAGCTATCCTCTTGTGGTATTCCCTTTCTCACAGAAATACTTATCCTAAGCAGTGTCTTCCTAGTCATTTCTCCTCTCTGAGGTCATTTTCCTCTGGCCATGCCTGCTCTGGCTAAACCCTCTGAAGACGGCACAGCCTTAGGCAAACGCCTAAGCCTCGCATGAGGGCTCCTCTGTTGTTGCTTCTTTCTCCGGCCTCTGCCCTCGCTCTTTCCCTCCTTGGGCTCCAGCCTCACTAAGTACATGTGTCTTTTATTTTCACAGATGTCGCTCTTCCTTATACCCAAAGACTTTTCAAAGTTAAATTCCTTGAAGGAAGCCACACGGAAGATGGTCGCCTTGACCAGATCCAGATAAACCCTGGCTGCCGCCGTGCTCAGTCTGGACTGTTTATTTCTCTGCTATTCTCTCACTGGGGGTGTCGTGAATACACCCCCTTTCCCATCATACTGCTTTTTTTCCCAGTAATATTGCATCCCCCCCCCCCATCAAATCACTGTATTTTGCTCTCTTCTGGATTCTGAGGTCTCTGGAAACAAGGCCAGGTCTTAACCTACCATTTTATCCCTGGTACATAGCAAAGGGGAAGCCACACCCTGAATACTCAGGACAGTTTTGATAAATGAACCACTACACTATCTTTTTTTTTTAAAGCTTATTTTTAAAATATTGCTTTATTCAAGTCATTTTTATGTTACATAAATAAATCTCCTGATGTTCTACAAACGTCTCTCCTGGAGGTTTTCTTCTGGCTCCATTCATTATGTTGCTGCCACAATTACAAATTTATGCATAAACAGATCAATTTTTTTTTAGACTTTTGCTTTAGGCTTTCTAGTTTCTGCTTTCTCCATTCCAACTTAATTCTAAAAGATCCACTTAAATTTTTTTTCTCAACAAATCTTAACTGAATCATTTAAAATTAAAAGTATAAGCATTAACTTTAGTACAGAATAGAACCTTATCATACCCTTTCTTCTTGACTTTTTTTAATCTCACTAATCTACTGCTAGATTTAAATTTTGTGTGTATGTCTTTTTTATTATTGATTTTATTGAGCTACACATTTTTCCTGCTTCCCTCCCTTTCTCTCTCCTCCCCTTCAACCTTCTCCCATGGTCCCCATGCTCCCAATTTACTCAGGAGGTCTTGTCTTTTTTCTACTCCCATGTAGATTAGATCCATGTATGTCTCTCTTAGGGTCCTCATTGTTGCCTAGGTTCTCTGGGATTGTGATTTGTGGGCTGGTTTTCTTTGCTTTATTTTAAAAACCACTTATGAGTGAGTACATATGATATTTGTCTTTCTGGGTCTGGGTTACCTCACTCAATATGATGTTTTCTAAATTCATCCACTTGCCCACAAATTTCAAGATGTCATTTTTTTTCTGCTGTGTAATACTCCAATGTGTAAATGTACCACATTCTCGAGAATTTAGATTGTTTCCAGGTTCTGGCTATGACAAACAATGCTGCTATGAGCATAGTTGAGCACATGTGGTACAATTGAGCATCCTTTGGGTATATACCCCAAGGTGGTATTGCTGGGTCTTGAGGTAGGTTGTTTCCTAATTTTCTGAGAAATCACCCCACTGACATCCAAAGGGGCTGCAGCAGCTTGCCCTCCCACCAGCAATGCAGGAGTGTTCCCTTTACCCCACATGCTCTCCAGCATAAGTTGTCATCCGCACTACACTATCTTCTAAACAAGCAGTTGAGCTAGCTATTAACAATCTTGTGGCATCCTTCTGCCTCTATATCCTTGTTTCTATTTTGACCATGAAGAAATATTTTTTAATAACTCATCAGAAACAAATGTTATAAGTACATACTTTGTGAATAGCTTTGGGACATTAGAAAGTATAAAACAAGAATTCTATTTTAACCACGAGCAGGAAGATTTGTGAAAGTAAATGTGCATTAAAATCATTAATAATTTTGTAATGAACATTTAAGAAACCTGCAATGCCAGGTTTCATGATCTGAATTTTTTCTTAATTCTACCAGAGAGAAAAGTGAAGTGTATTTAATAATAAAAGGAGGAGAATATTTCCATATTACAGTCCTATGGACACTATCCAGATGAATATTACATTTAGTTAACTTTGGTCAAATGTGTGTGGTGGCGTGGGGGTGGGGTACTTCATAGATTCTGTGGAATCAGAACTAGGGCAGGTGCCATTCTTTGCGCAGGGAAATCCCAGCATTTTAAGCAGCTGCTCTGGAAAAATGGAGGCACTGAGATTCCCCTTAGCATGCACACGCTGCTGGGTATTATTAATGCCTAACCGCTCAATGGGGAGCAACAATCATTCAAATCACTCATTCGACCTTGTTAAAAAAAAATTACTTCCACGACGTGTCTAAGCTGCTTTGCAAGTGCATTCAATTCTACAGCAGCTTTCTTGCTGCTGGTAGTTATTACTGCACAAATCACAAAGTCGCTTCTCTAATTTGTCCCACGAGATATCTACATGTCTTCACAGTAGACGGTCCTAGGACCCCAGTCGTGTGACTAAGAATTTGGTGACAAGAGAGCAAAACAGGAAGAGGTGACAGGACACCTCATCTGTTAGTGGTCTTGCTGTCAGAATGGCATAGTGTGCATGGACTCCCACAATCTGACAGGTTTCCTTTTTAAATGTCTTTAGGAATTCTGAATGAGCTTGGGGTGTATGTAGCTCTACACTAGAGCACTTGCCAAGAGTGAGGTAGAGCCCTGGGTTTGAGTTCCATGAGTTAAAAAAAGAAAAAAAAAAAAGGTATGACTGCCTTGCTCTCCTACTTACGGTTTAACTTAAAAGGATTACTCTTTTAGCTCCCCCTTTTTCCTCTTTCCTGATTTGTTTAGCTTTTTCTTTGAGTCCAGTTACCATTCTCTACGTCCCCTGCAGTTATGTCAGCGACTGACTGGACCCTTGTTATGTTTCTGGGTAGAAGTGATGATGTGATGTAAAACGTCCTGCCTCTCTAGTACTGGCGTGGAGCATCCCTCACAACAGTCATCTTTCTTCATCTTCTGTTCAACCACAGGGAACCCTGGGATAGATTGTGAAGATGACCGAGTCTCCACTGGTCTGACTCCCGGGAAGCAACATAGCCCCATACCATATACGAGGGAATAAATATCCACTGCTTCAAACCAGTAAGCTCTCAGTTCTTATTTGATACCAACGCTATTGCCTTTCTCAAATAGACGGTATGCATAAATACCACACAGAAAACATAAGGTTCCAAAGAAAAATACTGCTGATACTTATATATCTGTTTGTTTCTCCTCATTGAAACGTGCATGCACACACGCACACACGCGCGCACACACACGCACGCAAACACACACATGCGTACACACACCTCTGATTTATCTCAGCTTAAATACGAGTTTGTAGTTTTTTATGCCACTTCCACAATTCCAAAGCTCTGCTCTATCTGGCACTATGGCCTACATAAAGAAGAGCACAGAAATCATGGGCACAAGTTGGAGCTGAACTTTGTTATCTGTAACCTGAACCACTCATAAAAGGGGTGGGGGATGCTGGGTTCTCACCTTAAGAGTTCACAGTCGTAGCCCCCTTTTATTTTATGTTACAGGAGGCAAACATATATGCAAGAGACCAAAATGTACGGGTTAGTTTTTATGTCAGTTCAACACACGTCAGGGGCATCTGGAAAGAAGGAATCTTAATGGAGAAAATTCCTCCTCCGTAAGATTAGCCTGTAGGCAAATCTGTGGGGTATTAGTGTCTTGGTTAATGATTGACTTGGGAGGGTCCAGCCCACTGTGGGCAGTGCTACCCCTAGGCAGGTGATTCTGGGTTGTGTAAGAAAGCAGGCTGGGCAAGCTATGGAGAGCAAGTCAGTAGGCAGTATCCTTCTGTGGCCTCTGCATCAGCTCCTGTCTCCAGGATCCTGCCTTGAGTTGCTGCTGTCAAATTCTTCCTGGATTGTGAACTACAAGCTATAAGATAAAAGCAACCCTTTTCTCTCCCAAGTTCATGTGGGCCATGGTGTTTTATATCAGTAACAGAAACCCTAACTAAGATACAAAATGAGACAGCCTCTTACCATTTTTCTAACTCTACCCATAAGAAGCCTTTAAACATAAATTAACTGTCTCCGTTTTTGTTCCTTTGGATTGCTACAGTGAATATTGTGGCTATCTAGCTGCCCGGGTATTTTTAACTGGTACCACCTCCTACAAGACATATGGTTTTGTCTTCAATCACCAACAGTGTCCTGTTAGAGGGAAGAGAGTGATCACTAAAGGTGATGGTTAGTTGTTCACTGTCAATGTGACAGGATCTAGATTTGCTTGGGACATGGGCAGCTGAGTGTGTATATGGGAGACATGGGGCAGCTGGGTGTGTATATGGGGACATGGGCAGCTGAGCGTGCATTTGGGGGACACGGGCAGCTGAGCGTGTTCTACAAAATACTTAATGTGACCTATACAAAGCAACAGGGAGAGTAAGGCACAACAAGGATGCTATGCAGTTACACTAAAACTCAACTTGCCTGAAAATGTCTTTGGGCAACATGGAGGGAAGTGAGTTTTGAAGAGAGATAGACCTGGGTTCAAATTCTACTTCTGCCTCATGATTGATGTACACTGTAGGACAAGTTAAGTGATGGGCCCATCCCCCAGTTTCCTCCTTTGTAAAATGGGTAGAGCCAGTCTTGGTCACAAAGGCAATATGGAAACTGATGCCTGAAATGGTGGAAGCATGGGTGGTTGTTATCGCCTTATTGATAGCTGGAAAAGAATTACTCTCGAATGAGAAATCCGGTTGTTTCTTCATTATGAAGTAGGGATGTCAGAGTTTTGCCTCTTAAAGTTCTTCAGAGATTTCGTTTCCTAATTCATCCACCACAGAACCAGCGCAGTAAGCTTAGCTTGGCTTGGTCTGCCTCGCTCATCTGTCAGCAAGATTCTCACGTTCAAACTGGGTTGACAATTGCTGAAGGTGGAGGAACAAAAGAGGCTGTGCAACAGCATCGGATTGCACACCTCAGAGGGTTTAAGCGACCAACAATAACATCATATCTCTGTCAATCATGAGCAATTATAGGGCTTGGTGGACCCATGCAAGTAAAACTGTCAGTCACAAAGGGGTCTCCTGACTCTTTCTCTGGCTACAGCTATTAGACCAGCTTGATTCTATGACCTGTGGATATTTGAGTGGGACTTCCTTTTGGACAGAAGGATAGACTGTAAGACTGGGGGAGACATTTGCTCATTTTAAAAATCCTGATGTTATTCTCAGGACATATATATATGTCCTGTATGTGTATACTATATAACACACACATACACACACACACACAAGGCTGGAGATGGTTCAATTGCAATGTGCTTGTTGTCGAGTCCAAGGGCCAGAGTTTGGATTCCCCAACATATTAAAAGTCAGGCATAAGGGTGGAATAACTGTAGCAAGCTGCATGGAATCACACCTGATGGAGATGTATAATTAGCTCCTAATATTGGCTGGGGCCTGATCACGCAATGATCATCAGCTGCTTGCATATGCGTGGGCCTATAGGCAGTGCCCACCTGGCAATCTGGGGTTGGCAGCCCATGCCTACTTAAGGGCTGGGAGAGGTTTGCCCGGAGAGAGAGGTTTGCAAAAAGAGAGAGAGAGGAGAAGAAAAAGAGGAAGGAAAATAAGAGAGAGGGTAGAGAGAGGTAAAAGTGAATAAAGTCCTGAAATAAACTGCAGTGAGAAGAGCTCTGGTGGTCGCATCATCCTTGCGGGACGAGGGTGGCTGCGACAAATAACCATCCCATTGGAAGACAGAGGAACAAATTCCTGGAGCTCAATGGGCAGCTCATACTGGTGAGCTCTAGCTAGAGTGAGCAACCATGTCTCAAAATCCAGTTGGACTACAATGGAAAAAGATGTCTCATGTCAACCTCTGGCCTCCATTCATGGACATTTAAACTATCTGCATGCATAACACGTGCACACACACACACACACATACTCTCTATCCAAATCCGAATGTATAATTTCTAGCTAGGAAACACAATGGTCAGACACATCACTCGAGTGAATATAGTGGTATGATCAGAGCTCGACGCCTAAAGCACCTGCACGGAGTTCCTTAGAGCAGGATTCTACAATGATACCTTCATGAGCAGATAGAAAAGCAGACAAATACACATTTATAATCATAAAATGGCTCTATTTCAGCTGTTCATAAATATTTTTGTCAAAACGGATTAAGGCTTAACAGCTTACTATGAAGTAATTGATCTGTGAGCTCTAATTCAAGTTGCATTTCAAGTCTTAAATTATAAATAACTGCAGTATACAAAACACAGACACTGACAAGGAAAGCATGTAATTACGCGTACCCACACATTCTAGTGTGTTAGAGTCAAGTTTTCCAAAATACATCAAACGAAGATAAAAATGAAAAGTTGATAAATTGTGCGATAAAGTATGTTTTTTGTTTTGTTCTTCTCATTCTGAGAACATTACTGCAAGCGGTTAACAAGAACCAGTTACGTTCTAGCGAGAACAGAAGACAGTGAGATACGGCATCCTCCCCTGGGTCCGTCAACACATGTGGATCACGGCAGTGTGCCCAGTGCTGCCCTTTCTACTACCGAGTAACTCTGACAATGAAATAAAGGATGGGAAAATGCAGAGCTGGATGCAAGGCCACGCCTCAGCATTCTGTTCACAAGAAGCCCCCGTCCCCCAGGAGGTCAGCAAGAAAGACTCCTGGAGTCCTGGAGGACTTCATTCCTATAGGTTTTGTGCCAAGGGTTGCCCAGCAGAAGCAAGACTATAATCTCATCAGAGTACACGAAAAGTAACAGAATGAAAACCAAGGCCCTTGTGTTTAAAGTGGTAACACACCTTGAGATCCACACGGGAAGTAGTTTCAGACTTGTGGAGAAAGCTGAGCACAATCTAAGGACACCAATGAGGGAAAGGGAATTTTTCTAAAAATAGGATTGCATTAACTTCAGACTTTGGTTCATGGAAAAGAATAAAAGGAAACCCACATATAAAATGAAAATGATGCTTAAAATAGGAAGTATAAGATCACCAGACATTAAAACTGCCGATAGTTGGGTGTGTCTGTAGAGAGGAAGGACATTGGTAGGAAGTCTGTCTAATCATAACACAGTATCACTATTCATTAATATTTATTCAGACCATGGTAATCGCCTATAAAGCTATCTATTCTAAAGGAAAACTAGATGGAAGGCAGCTGCTTCTTAGAAATCCTGGGTGGGGGGGGGTTAAAAAAATGAGGGGCTCAACAGAATTTCATTATGAGATCATTTTAACCATCAGAGCCCCAGGCAGAGCAACACAGGCAACAAGATACAACTCCATTGCATTACAAAAGGCCGCATAGTGTATGTATTTTTCTTCCTTTTCTTCCAACTGCTAGTGTACCAGCTACTTTTCTATTGCTGTGATTAAACACCAGGACCAAAAAGGATTTATGTAAGGAGTTTATTCTGAATTATAGCTTAGAGTTCATCTTATGGGGAAGCGTGGCAGAAGCAGGCAGTCTGACTCCCTCCAGCAAAGTTAGACCTTCTACCTCCTCAAGCAGTGCCACCGTAGGGGAGGTGGGGGAGTGTGCGCATGCCTGAGCCTGTGGGGGACATTTCTCCTTTTAACTGCCTCTCATCTGATCCTCATGTGACCAGTTTGAATGGTCTCTTACTTAGCATGAAAACACAGAGTCACAACGTATGTCTTTGAAGTAGTTTGCTGCCCTCGCCATGGCCTGTTTGAAATGAAGTCAAGATAGCGTGGAAGGGGGTTACGCTTGCTTTATAATGTGGCCATTTTACATTGACTTACCAAGCTTGTAGTGTACATAATTATTAATGCCAGGGAATGTGATTTAACTATGGGCTACTTAATTTGTATAACAATGGTCTGCGTTGTAACACACTCAGGATTCATAAAAAACTAAGCATGAAGCTGAAATTATATAAAATCAGATGTATCCAACTGAATTTTAACCTCGCAAGCCCTTGGCTAAACAGCCTTGAGGAATTAACCTCAGGGAACCTTAGGCTTCATCACTGGGCAATGGGGCTAGCAATATCAGAGGGCTGGCATGAATAAATATGAAATTTGGGGTACAAAGTCCCTAGACAATTGAACACCAGAGAGTTGAGACCTAAAATCAGTTCTTTCTTTCTTTATATACAGTAAGAAAAGATACACAAAATCTTATAGCAGAAAATCTGGGCTAAGAAATAGCCCAAGCAAACAAAGACACCATGCTACATGCTGTTTTAAAGAATCAAGGAGGAAATACTTGCATCTTAAAGGTAACACCCTTGCAGACATGAGAATTAACTTCTTGATCTGACTGACAAATACAAATTCCACAGAAAGAAACCTTGAACACGTCACTCCCCTAATAACCTTGGGAGTTTCCTCAGGGGCAGTCATGTTTTGTTTTGAGTTTTAAAGGCAGACACTTAAATATGAAGGCAGAGTCAAGGCTTCTAGACCTGGGCCATGCTGTCTACTTAGCATTGAGCAAGAGCAGATAAGTCAGTCACGGAAGCGAGATGATCGCAAACGTGATTCATGGCCCATCCTTGAACATGGCAGGAAGACTGCAAAAGATATTTAGAAGCCAATGCTTCCTCTGAACAAGTCAACAAGTGTGTGTTAATCCCTCTCCCTGGACTATGCTGGCCTCAGATAAATTGGCAGTGTAGAGTCTGGGATGAGAAACTATCTCAAGGCTAACGATGGTTGCTACTGAAAAGGCCCGGTGCGCAGTATAAACACGGGGGTCAGACAGCAGATAGCCAGGATATTACTCAAAAAAATGCATCGAGCACAAAGCTGACAAGATAATCTATTCCTGCGAGTGCAAAGCAGTCTGGAATGCCATAGCTATGACCTACGCAGGCAAAGAAAGGAGCACAAACTCTCCAAGGGCCGCGTCTCAGGCTCCTTATGCAGGCAGGGCTCCAACAGACTTCAAAGGGAGTGCTGCCTAAGAAGGGAGGACCCGGCCCGGGCCGCGCACAGGGGGTATCGCTTCCACGATCATGTTGCCATCTACATTTGGTGGACCGGCAAGTCCAAATATCTCAGCCACGAGTTTAAACAGATGGAAAAAGAAGTGTGAAATAGCTGGGAGGCCTGCATGCAAAAGCAACCTCAGGATTCCAGGAAAAAAGACTCAAAACCAGGGGCTTCATGTGTTACCCCGAAGTCTCAAGAGAGTCATCCGTGTATGACAACATAAAAAAAAATAAAGCCCACCCCCAAAACTGCGTTCTAGTGTAGCACGTGACCCAAAATATTCTAGCAAAGAAATCATCTTCCGCATTTAAACATTCGTAAAAGGTCAATCCCATTTTCCTAAATGAAGCTTCCACCATATCTGTTTTTAACGAGGTTTTAACATACGTGGATCCTGGTTAATGTAGAAAGAGCTGAACTCATCAGACTATACTTACAGGAGGACCTGGGGGGGGTGAAAAAGAGAGAAAGAGAAATTAGTGAATATAAATGTTAAAATTAATTAATAGATAACCACCAACACAATACTAAGGATACAAAGGGGACTTACAACACAGTAATTCCTAGATGTTTTCTTTACATCACAGACTTGGAGATGACAGAAAAAATAAATTTATGCCCAAACACAAATTGTGCATAGAATTTGGACAAACTGTCAGGTTCTCCAAAGCCTACTAATGTGCATCTGAGAGACCTGTGAGTTTGAAATAAAACTACATAATACATGTGAGTCTAAGGAAAATACGAGCCAGGAGAACCTTGACTGTGTTTGAAGGCTACTCCAGAAACCTGAGCTTGATCAACACAGTTAGATCAGCAAAGCCAACCATAGGCCAAAGGCTTTCCTTGAAGAGTGTCCTTCCTTCAATGCTTCCCCTGATACGTAAAAGCCCAGGCCTAGCAACTCTCTAGGTTTCTTTAAACCAGAGCCCGGGCGAAAACTGAGAGCATTTTTCTGTATTTCACGCACCATATGCTCTAAACGCCAACTCTCAGTGACTAGGCATTTGGAAGGTGATTTTTATCTTGTCTATAGAACTTTGCACAAGTACTCAATTTTCATCTCCCCCCCCTCAATCTTTTGAAGAAGATTACTTTGGTGATTGCTTTATCATTTCTTTTCCCCTCAAGATTACTTGGGGAGGAGGGAGAAGGGAAACCAGTGGGAGTGCAGGAAGCATGAGGTGGGGTAGGGATTGGTGGAGTCAGACAAATGGGAACAAACTGTCATAACACATATGTATAAGGATACAAAAATGACGGGTCCCACTGCTTTGCGTGCTAACCTTAACGTTTAATTTTTAAAGAACTCTATTACAAACTCTGCCCGGCCATCCAGATTCAGGGTGGCCCAAGGCCAGCTTTTGAGAATACTTGGGAACCAGCAGCCACCCTCCCCAGCTGATGAATTTTCAGAATCCCTTTCATGTTCTCATCTTTTCTGAAAGGGCGTGGGGAAATGGAATATCCCAGATTCAGCCCACTGCCTGCTCTTTCTGACAGCGACAGCTCCACTATTTCAACGACCGGTCAGTCATTGTCTTAAATATTGATAAAAACTAACACCAGAGAGTGGAGAATCCCATCTCGGAGCTGGAGTCACCATGAAAGGAAGACCTGATGTCCTCATGACTCACGGCTCATGGCTATTGACCCGTCTAAAATCCGAGACTTCTTAGAGTAAGAGCAGTAACTGACCTCCCTTATTGCTATACCTTGATTTCAGAAATATTAATTTGGCCTTTTCTACTTTACCTTACCTATAGGAATTTGTCCCGAAAGCACAAGCTACTGAAGTGAGCATCGGGAGAAACGATTGTAAAAGCCATGGCCAGATCAATCAACTGCCCTGTTTCCACAATGACATCACGAAAACCCTGAGACTAAGGATACTGCTCTAACCATCAAAGCTCCGTGGCTGTAGCAGGAGATACCCTAGAGTCAGTAAGAACAGTAGAGCAGTATGACACACTATGCCCACTGGATAAAATAACAGAGCTTCCCAGGATGTCCTCCTTAAAGTGCTAAGACAGATAAATATCCCCCAGCTGGTCACCCAGAGAGAGGACACATGGCGATGTGGTCATAGCATGTGTGGGTGAGAACCCCAACAAGGAACACAGGCCAGGTAGACTTTGATGGCCAAGCAAGCTAGAACAGGGGTGGAAGAGTCTGTAGTTACCACAATGAACAACAGTTTGCCAATACTTCCTTCCTAGAGTTTGTTGATATTAGGGTCTATTCTTAAATTCAAAATCTAGACTAGACTTGCCGAGCATAGGCACACCTTCCAACAAGGGAACAGTACCATTGGTTAAGGGGAGAAACCGTAACTCCTGCACCAGAACTTTAGTAACGTGAGGCAGTCACTTACCAGACTCTCCTCTTCGGCCTCTCTTCCCTCGTTTCCCCGGAGGACCTGAAATATAACAGATTATTTGTAGTATAGTTCCATTTTTTTTTACTGGTTGTATAATGGCTGCTACATAGTTTCTCCATTTCCACTCCCTGCTTTGCACCACCAGATTTAGGAAAGGGACCCAGGGTTTGTGAAGGTCAAAACTCTTCCAGCACAGCTAAACTCTATTCCATCCCCACCACTGGTCTAGACAATCATCTACCACAAAACACTACAAAATCAGAATTTCTACTCATTCCATTTACATACCATCAATACAGAAAAGATTTGCTAAAGCAAGGAGTTGAGGTGTCATTTTTCTGAAGGTCTCAAAAAGGACCAAATCTAAATAACTATTATTTATCTTCAGTCAGGTTCAACATGATTCTTCTGGAACTATTGGATAGCAATTAATTAAACACATACACAAAAAAAGGAATGTATTTGAAAGATATTTCTGTTAAATGTGAATGGAATGGAATTCCTTGATATCACCTGAATAAGTTAATGACCCCCATTAAATGCCTTGTGTGTATGTAAGTGGTCACTTCTAAGTTTGATTTTTCTATAAAGACAAAATCATTATCTCCTAATGAATAGTTAGCCTCAATGGTGATGCAATTCAAAAAGTAGAAAAACAAACAACAAATAAACAAAAAACATCCTTGACCTTTTTATTTCAGTGAGTTGCCTCTAAGGACAACCAAGCCAGACTAGATCAGATTTAGTGCATCAAATTCTAGCCAATTTCACTTCAAGACAATGTTCTCAATTACACTACTTCTATCTGCATGTCCTGAGGTAAAAATAGCTTCTACTGAATTATGGCTCCAGTGAACAGAAGAGAGTAATCAGCCCGCAGCGAGGACAGAGGGCTTATAATACTTGCTGGGAGAAAAAGCCAAGGAAAACAGAGTACTGCCTGCTGCCAAAAAAATGAACTGCTGAGTAGAGCTCATGGCTTCTAAACCCCAGAAAGTTCCAGAGACACGGTGACTGTCATCATGAGTCTGAGTTATCATCCCATCAGATGCTACCATGAGTGGTGGAAACACTAGTGGGCCACCCAGCTTCTCCTCTAGCCTCACACAGGGAAGTATATCCATTTGTGTTGATAGCAGGGTAAAAAATAATTATATATAATCACGCCCTAAAATCAACTGAAGATGTTAGGAGACCCAGATTTACAGCAAAAACCCAAAAGTAGGCTTTTGGGTTTCTTTCTGTATTCTAGAAAAAGAGGAGAATTCATGCACACTCATTCCCAAGGACTGGGACAGGAAAATCAAATAAGTGAACAAACATGATAGGACCTTCCTTTATGAGACAAATATATATTTATACACTTGCCCAAACTCACACATGGACCTTTGTATTGACAGACTCCAGGATTTATAACGCCTTGAGATTAGAACTCAGATGTTTGGTATAAAATCACTTAAACCAGTGAAACTTAGCAGGCCTATGTGTGACTGACATGATTAATATTAGGAGCCACTAACTGTTTTTCAAGCAGGGAATATAAAAGTTCTAAGAATTGATGCATAATTCAAGTGATAACAAGAACAATCCACATTTAAACTCATAGAAGAAGAAACTTAGTATTCAAAGGTAAGGAGACAGCGTCAGGAAGACCAGAGGCTCAAATACAATCAGAGACATTCTGACTGGCTGCTCACTTGCCAATAAATAATAACTAACTTATCTACTGGGGATTAGCTTACTTTCTTTTCTCTACGAAGATGCTCCCTTAAAACAGTAAAGTGCATGAAGCTAACACAGTAAGTTTATTATGCTTTTTGAAGAGAATCTAAACTAAAAGGAAATCCTCGCAAGTTAAGAAAGTGATCAAAGAAGCAAACTTTGTCTTCAGGAGACACCCAAAAGCCAGAGTCATGTTATTTCTTAACATGTCTTCTTCGAATATTCAATCACAAATCTTCTAGAAATCAATCAAATGTCACAGCGACTGTGGAACAAAAGGTAATGGAGAGGATGATGTCTCAAAGATGGCACCCGCTGAAGATGACAGAGTTCTATGAAGGATATCATAATATTTGAGAGCCAGCGAAGTCACACCAAGTTGTAAGGTGAGAGTCTAAAATAAGTTTTGACTCTATGAAAAATATTGGATTGAGAGAGAGTATATTATAACAATAACTGGATGGAAAAGCCTAGAGTGAGTGACTCCTTACGTGAGAGAAGCAAGCTAGAGGACTGAACAAAATTCTCTACAACACCTACATATCTTGTTGACAAAAAGTAACCCGAAGTTTGAAGAAATCCAATGTACAGATAAAAACACTGGTCTTCCCTCTGATTTTAAGATCATACCCAAAAGAGAAAACCAGAATAGAAGAGATGAGCCGGATAATGAACGACTGCAAAGCAGCAAGAAAGATAAAAATTCCCAGACCAAACTCACGGTAAGAGCTGAGAAGCTGGGCAGTGGTGATGCATGCCTTTAATCCCAATCCTCAGAAGGCAGAGGCAGGTTCCAGGACAACCAAGGTGACACAGAGAAAACCTGTCTCAACAACAACAACAACAACAAAAACCCAAGGGTGTGGGGAAGGGGAACTGAAAAAGGTAGTGACCTTATCCACCCATAATAAAGGATAATGCTGTCCAAACTCTTGTTGTTTTTGCTGTTAAATGTTTTATTTTGAAATTAGCTTAATAATTGGGCTTCCATAAGGCTTCTCCATACACCCTTAGTTTTAGCTATCCCATCCACTCCCCTCTTCTCTCCCTAACTCACCACCCCCAAGCCTGCTGAATCTCTTAACCCTCGTTATTGCTCCTCTTCTTTCTTCTTACCTGTGTTCTGTTATCCCACAACTGGGAAACAACCAGGTTGTGGTCTCCTGAATGGATTTTTGTATGCTCCTCCTTTGGGTTAGCCCTGTCCTTTACACTCCTTGATTTCGCCCACACCCTTCCCTGCCTAAGCCTCCCTGTCTCCTCCTCGCCTTCCTGCTTTCATTTCGCCTGTACTCCACTATCTTCCTCCCTTCACATGCCCCCCAAATCCCTCCCCCCATAGTTTTCCCCCTCAACTTATGCTCCAATTTAAATATGCAGATAAAATACGTGCAGGTAAGCTCTGTGTATGAGAGAGAAGCGGCAGTGTTTGCCGCTCGGTATCATTTTCTTTCCAGCTCCATCTATTTACCTGCAAATTTCATGATTTCACTCTTCTTGATAGTTGGGTAATACTCCACTATGTACACATGCCACACTCTCCTTGCCCAAGCTGTCAAAGCAAAGGGGAGAACTGGGGACTGAGCGCCGGTCAGAGAGGAAACAAGTAAGCAGTAGCTCTCAGATGCACAAGAACTCCTGCAACTATCATGTGGGAGTAGGGAGGCCTGGAGGAGACATCAGTGCATGCTGGAATGCTCCTCCAGGCACTCTGGGGTGCCCCTCCAGACATGCTGGGGTGCTCCTCTGGGCACACTAGGGTGCTTCTCCAGACATGCTGGGATGCTCTTCTAGACACTCTGGGGTGCTCCTCCAGGCACTCTGGAATGTCCTCTAGGCACTCTGGGGTGCTCCTCCAGACACGCTGGGGTGCTCCTCCCTGGACTAGCACTCTGACAGCTGCAGCTGTTGATAGGGAAGCACCTGCCTGTCCACCGAGGTGATGGCAGGTCATCCTTCTTGTACCACCCTCTTCATCTTCAGCAGCCTAAACCAGGCTTTCCTTCAGATGTTTGAATTAACCTTACAAGCACATGCAGATCATTTTCAGAATCCTCCCNNNNACCCCCCCCCCCCCCCCCCCCCCCCCCGCTCAGGCCTCCTAGAATTCCTTCAAGGTGGCCCAAAGCTTATTGTTCTACAAATAGAATCAAGAGGTTTATACAGCAAATGCCTGCCTAAAATGCATGCCCTCTATGATCATAAAATGTCTTTGTGTCAACATACTCAGGAGCTTGTACGCAACCTAAACAGTTCCATACTGAGCTTGACAGTCAGAGCACCCTGGTTGCCAAACTGGGTTGCAACTGTTTGGAGTCAGAAGTTTACCAGCTAAAGCAAGTTTAGAAAGTTCCAGATTTTAGTATGCGCTCTGTGTACAAGTACCCCTACAGCCAACACCATCTTCTCTGTGCACCCTTCACTCCACACTCAGACCTGTGGCTTGTCCTGCTGCTGATCATTGTTAAACCCTGCACTCTACAGACTGAGAGGCTGGACACGACCACCCGCAGAAATGTCCCAGGATGCTTCACTTCATCACTATCCTTCCTTGTATCTCAGAGGCTGGCTGTAAAGGTTTATTCTCTGCCCCATCACCATGTGTGAGCAGTCAAATGTCATCGTTAGCAATTGGCCCAGAGCTGCTTGTTTCGTATTTAGAGAATACAACCCCTGGTCTATTTGGTACCTGCTAGCTTACTTCATTGCAAGTAAACATTTAAATAAACATTTCTTTTATTACTCATGTATTCACGTCCCTAGATTTTGTCCCACCAGGACTCTAGTCTTATACATTGTTAGACTAAGAAAAATATATAAATCAATAATCTGTCAGTACAATTGCTCACTGTATTTTAGGGTAGTTTTGCTAGATTTGCATTTGAGAGAGTGTCTGGCTATATAGACTGACTTGGAAGGTGCATGCTACTTAGCCCAGGTTGGCCACAAATGCCTGTCCTCTTGCCTCAGCCTCCTAAATGCTAGGATTAGAGTATAATCCGCAGCAACTGGCTGTACTTTAGCCATAAACAACCACCATGATGCTGCAGAGCTTCTATTTTTATGCTCTAAGTAGGTCATATGTTTTTAATAAGTTGTGAACATTTACAGTGTAAAATGGTCCTTTACGGTTAGAAAAGTAGTCCTCTCAAAGTGCTTAGAGAACTTTTTAAAATAAAATTTAAAAAGCCAATGTTTAATTTTGTGGATTTTAAAAAAAATGTTATTTTCAAATTTTTATAGGAAAAATTTGATGATTCCACATAAAACTTCTAAAACCTAAAATATAAATTGTGTTCACTGAAGATAGTTATTTG